TACCCACTAAAACCTCATAGATCCACTACTAGCGCGATATCAGGTGCACACAGGGCTTACCAGTGGCTTAACACCACGTGTGCACCTCGCGCATCTGCCACAACCGGCTCCCTGATTTAGTTAATTACTTAAGTCAGTCGCATTAACAGTAATTAGAGTAATAATAGCCAGTTGGATAATATAATATGGAGTGCAGGTGCGGTTTTGTTCCCCAGTCGATGAAGCACCTGATGTCATGCCCTGAGTGCCCAAGCAACTGCACTCAGGAGGATTTGATGAGTGCTACTGATAACGCCACTCTTGTGGCGGAGTTTTGGGCTGACAGTGTGTAGGTTTGTTGTCGACACGAAAAGAAGAAGAAGATAGCCAGTTCCTCTATGGTTGATAATTCCAGGTGAAACACATTTCCATCTTCGGCTTGATCATCTCATCACTTTCCATATTGTGAGACGCAGGACAAGAGCTTCCCTGATGTAGATAAAAATAAAATGTAATTTGTGTGACCGATGGAAGAAATATTTTTAAGCGAAATAAACTTTGACCTTTCCTACCTAGCCCTACAAAAATTCCGCCCGAGATATTAAATGTTATATTAATTCCACGGAAACGTGATATTGTTATAATGGATTATTAGGATTTATATTTATCACAATTAATGCTGAGCTATGTTTGAATTATGAATTCCAGCTTAAACATTTCGGAATAGTTACAAGTATGATTTAGATTTCTCTACCTTTGAATTTTAATAGTCGGATTAGTAGGTCAACGGTTTATTCTCGAACCGATTCCGATATTAGATATCATAAAATTTATATTGAGAAATAAGAGCAACGACCCTCATCGTCCCAAAAATCGAAACATGGTTTTCATACTTATAACACATACATGTTCACATCACAGTAAACATAAATTACATCAGTAATTTGCAGTGTCGTTGCAGCGTCTATTTACGATGATAATTTTACTTCTTTGTTTGAAAGTATAACACCAAAACAAGTTGGGAAAGCCCAATGAGTCTTCGAATCCAAGTTGAATTATTTATTCGCACAATATGCAACATAATACAACAATGTTATGTACACCGTTCTATGTGCATATAAGTTTTAAATAAATAAATAAATAAATGTCACAACTTCATTTCACAATACATCAATTCAAACCATTGGCATGCAAAGATTGGCGCGGGTTTGTAAATCAGCGAACGGGCTTGTAGTCTGCCGGGGTTATACCCTGATACAGGTAACCCCTAATCCAATCCAGACGATCCGAGGCGGGTCTACACGACAGGCGGGCGATATAGACATTTCACTGTTATCCCTAGTTTGTTCCTAACAATAAGGGTCATCTTTCCATAAGGTGATTTACAAGGATATTTTGCACAACCCTTGTCCAAGTTGGAGCGATCAAGTAACGCTAAAAACTGTTACGATGATAGCCTATTTACTGTCTTATTAATAGAACATGACTATAAATGTAGGTGCAATGACACAGGAAACCAATTTCTGTATGAGCTTTTGACATAAACAATAAAAGACAATGACCAACAATGTATAAAGTTTGGTCCAAATGTCCACCACTAACGAGACCTATAAAAATACAATACTTACCAGATTCTGTGAGTCCCTGATCGTGTATCAAGATGTTCATAAGTTTACGTCAAGTCCCGGTTAATCTCTCAGACCCCCTTCAGCGAGGAATCGGAAAATACTCGAGTCCAGCTAATAAATAGATGTTAATGCAGGGATACGCAATTTGAATATGATAAAACGACCTCGATACCGATCCAAATACAAGACGGAGATCACCGCTACCTCAGACATTAGGCGGAGTGCACATTACCTTGTTTAAATAATTTCACCGGGACACCATGGCGGCGCAACCAGTCGCCGCTACCAACAAAATGTATACAGCTCTATAGAGAGTTACTCACCTGTAGGCCTAAGATGCGCGCCGCGATAAGCGGTTATCACGCCATTTTATCGATTTTCCCCATACATTTTGACGTCGATAAAAGTTATCACGGCGCGCATCTTAGGCCTACTGGTGTCCGTTTGGTTGCGCAAAGCTGTATACATTTTGTTGGTAGCGGCGACTGGTTGCGCCGCCATGGTGTCCCGCTGAAATATAGCCCTAAAAGACGTCCACTGCTGGACAAAGACCTCCCCGAAGATTTCCACAACGACCGGCTCTACGCTACCCACAGCTCTTCCCACGATCAAAATCAAAAATATCTTATTCAATTTTGACCACTGGTGGCACTTATGATATCTTTACTAGATCGTCGGTGCACCGAGTGGGAGGTCTAGCTACAAGTACGTCAATATGATATTTGAAACTGTGTCTTTCGATCCATGATCGCTACTCAAACGGGTATAAATTCTACGAGCTATAAACACTCGTATTTAGCATAATATTATTCTTTTTGCATGAAACTTCGCCACATTCGTCTGAACGTTACAAATCCAATAGGTACGATTTTCCCTTTTATTTTATCGCGTGGGTTCTAAAGATTTTACGAGGTGACTGGAATCATCTCTTAAATGTCAACTTTAACTTTGATCTTTATTTTTATTGCCTGGTTTGAGGCACACGTTAAACCCAGTTTTCTTTTAAGCGCTCTCTATAAAAACGAATGTTATATTGCGCTGCTCTGAACAAAATGAAAAATATAAACACATTGATTGTAATTAAGAAGAACACATAATTTTTCTCGTAAAACATTTATAAGCGGGTTATTTATTTATTGGTACTTGCTCATTAATAAAGTTTTATTAATTTCTCAAATTAAATATCTACGATGTTGCTAAGTGGTGCGGTAAAAAATATGTATAACGATGTCTGAGAATTTCATCGTCGCACCAAAATCAAACTATCCTACCCTACCGCTGACAAGAAATGTAGAGGGTGTATAAACAGAGTGTAGGGCGTGAACACGTGTGTCTGGCAGCCCAATCTGCAATATTAATGCGGTATTTTTACAAAGTTACTATTACGATTAAAAATAATAAAAAGATTGAATATTTATTTTCCAAATAAAGATAAAGATCAAACCACGATCTGCCCTACCCCTTACAATAAGGTAGAGGGTGTATAAAATCCTCCACGGAGTGTAAGGGAACTCGTGCGCCTGGCACTGGCAGCCCAATCTGCAATATTGATGCGTACCGCTCCTGCAAATTGCTGCCCAGCCTGCCGATGTGCTGTATTTCAATTCGGTCGACCATTGTGGTTGGTGTTTGGGAAATTGTTATGTATTATGTTAGCAAACACTTTATAGTTTATAGCATTTCGATTTCTAGGCTTGGGGTTTCTATTATAGTGGGTATTTAAGTTGGCAAGGATGTAGGATTTAGATTTCTAGGTTAGAGTGAGATATAGAGTGAATATTACATCGGTTAAAATAGCTGCCATGGAATTTTGACTTGGCTTTTATCGATAGCGGCTTAATGTTAAGCTATAGGTATTATTTAAAGGTACGGACCGATTCAATTTAATTTCAATCAATCAATTTTTAGTCTATCAAACGGGACTCACAAGACTCTAATTTCATAATGCCCTAATTTTACTAACAGAAATTAACGTAGTGTATAGTTACATATTTTGTAGGTAGGTAATGTAAAAAACACTAAATATTGTATTTTCTTCTCCAATTTCCCTCAACATTATTTTTTCACTGTAATCTGTCAGATTATCCACATCATCTCGTATTTACAGTTCAATACATAAACCTCATTCAATGCTACCCCCCAGGGTCATACATCATCATGAGGCCCCCCGGGAGGTTATGCCCTATAAACCTATAACAAGCCAATCCAAGTTTGTTGTTCTGGCGCAAGTTTTTCAAATGGGCCAATATAACTTTACCGTTTATTTCTAAATTAGTCGCAAATATAGTCTTAAATGCTCTTCCAGGAGCAGCAGCAGATCCAGGTAGGTGTTTTTTTTATTTGACAGAACTGATAAAGAAGCGAAAAATCAAACAACTTTATCCGAACTTACATGATATTTCACAAAAATCGTTTAAAAAAAATCTCATCTCATACGATTTTCAGGAGCAAGATTTATGTTAAATGTTCTCGGTAATAATATCTACTTACTTGTTATAATGAAGAATCGCGAAAATGTTCGGTAAGGTAACTAAGTAAAGCATCGAAAAGTCTACAAACAGAAGGTCAACAAAACACATTTTGGACATTACTAAAGCTGGGTTGCACCATCTTACTTTAACTTTGACAACCGTCAAAAATCTGTCAAACTCCATACAAAATACACCGGTTATCGTTACAGTTACGGTTAAAGTTAAGTGGTGCAACTCAGCCTCAGCAACAAGTTTGACAAACAGGTGTGTTACATTGTATATTTGAAACAAACAAATAAAATGTTGGTGGCAATTAATTGTTCACTCCATTATTTTTATTCAAACAATATTCATTTTCGGAGACAAATAGCAGTTGGGCGTAATTTATGTGGTTTGCGAGAGGGAATCATATATCGTCCATTAAACCCTTAGTAAACCCATATTTTTGTGAATTTGCCTTGAATAATTTACAGTACCTACACATTATTGGGTGACCATGACACCGTACCATGACGATAACCAAAAAAATGAAATAAACGATACGCTTTCTATTCCAAAATATTAAATGAGAAAAAAAATATTACTGAAAGAAAACTCTCGCAAGTAGGTGTGAACGAACATATTCAATTAGTTTTCTTTTTTCTTAGTAGTAACATTCCTGAATCTAACTGGCCACAATATAGACTCGTTAAAAATGTAGCGAGTTCCAACCAACCTCTTTTAAAAATATTCGAACCTACTCACAACATTTTTCAGGCCTACGAAAAAAGAAAGACTGTCGACAGTGTTATGTTTTTGAAAAAAATGAATTGCATCTTTGTACGACTGTGAATTTTAGGCAGGTTTTCATTTTGTACACGTATTTAAATGTTTTTGTTTTAATAGTGATGTACCTATTTCTCAAACTTGTGTTTTGTTACAGCTGCAGCTACGACTACCTGGAGATCATCGAGACGGGTACAGACAACAGCTCGGATCACGCGGGGGAATGGTTATTGGAAGACCACCAGGACACTTACAGTGCTGAGAATGAGGTAAACAACTAACTATACAAAAGTTTACCCCCTTACTAATCAAAGTTTTACACGGATGATGTTGATTACTACGTTTAAATTACTTTTACTTTACTTTTAAACGTGGTGAAGCTCAACAAAACCAAAATCTAACTCTAATTTCTAGAAAATAATAGCATACCTATAGGTTATATACATCGTTTTGAGCGTACTTTTACTTTTAAACGTCACTTACGTAAACTAGTGTTTAACGTCGTGCCTACACGAAAACTAGTGTGCAATACGCGTGCAACTTTTATTAGTAAGGAGGTTGGAAAGCACCTCATCATCATCATCATCATCATTTCAGCCACAGGACGTCCACTGCTGAACATAGGTGAGATACAGGCTAAGAGCTTGCTCGTTGGGGATAAAAAGAAAAAAAAAGGTGTACCCCAATGAGCACCTAATATAGTCCAATGTAGTTATGTAACTACGAGTTTACTCATTCGAAACAAGTTTAGATAAATTTTATGGTAATAAATGAATAATCATATTAATCATGGCTTACATTTGAATAGGGTCAACATACTTTGGCAATATGATAAGCCTTTCATGGCGAGATTAGGACAGTACATTATCCGATAAATAAATAAATATCTTATGGCAACAAAGCCCATCCCGGGATGACCGTTACCTTTTAATGGGGGTATTTTATTGGGGATAAAACAGCTCTCCATATTGTATGGTTTACTACCGCCATACATTTATGGTTTAAGTGCGTAGATTAGCTGCTTGAAGCACTTAAACATCGATTAAGGCAAATAACAATAGTTACAAATGACTACTCGTAGTTGGAAAACTTTTTTTACATTATAAGTAAGTAGTTTTATTTTGTATGTAAATTTTCCGTTAGCTCTATAGAGCTCTAGGACGTACTACAATTGTCATAAAATTGTTCATTAATACCTACTGATGTATTTTTAACCAATTAAATATGTTTGTTTAAATTCGTGGATCGAATCACGGAAAGACGTAACTGATTTTTATCAATTTTACAGGAGCGACGTTTAAAGAAAATTTTAAGTATGGAATTTCGGACCCTTTTTAACTGTAAATACTGGCTTCCTGACAATGATATCAGTTACGATCTTTTGTGAGGTTATAAAATGCACGTTTTTTAATAACATGGTGTATTTACTCAATATCGCCATTTTGTTATATCTGGGGGCACGGCAGTGCCCCCACCAAGTCGAGCAAAAAAGCGGCACGGCCGTACCATCCTTTTCTCGAAGCAATTCAGGCCATTTTCGACTGCCTGTACCTTCGTTGTGGATAAAANTAGTGAGTATTAAAAAGGTCTCAACATCGGTTAACATAGCTGCCCTGAAATTTTGACTTGGCTTTTATCGATAGCGGCTTAATGCTAAGCTATATGAATTATTTAAAGTTACGGATCAATTTAATTTAATTTCAATCAATCAAAAATTTTAGTTCTCCAAACGGCACTCACAAGACTTTAATTTCATAATGCCCTAATTTTGCTAACAGAAATTAACGTAGTGTATAGTTACATCTTTTGTAGGTAGGTAACGTAAAAAACACTATTGTATTTTCCTGTCCAAATTCCCTCAACATTATTTTTTCACTGTATTCTGTCAGATTATCCACATCATCTCGTATTTACAGTTCAATACATAAACCTCATTCAATGCTACCCCCCAGGGTCATACATCATCATGAGGCCTCCCGGGAGGTTATGCCCTATAACCTATAACAAGCCAATCCAAGTTTGTTGTTCTGGCGCAAGTTTTTCAAATGGGCCAATATAACTTCACCGTTTAACGCAGCTTTTCTAAATTAGTCGCAAATATAGTCTAAAATGCTTCGGCAGTTGTTATAAAGTAGGGTTCCAGCTATTTTTACCTAAAGGTGTAAAGAAGCGAAAAATCAAACAAGTTTACTTACATTTCATGATTGTTCACAAAAAATATCGACAGCTGATTTCTGTTAAATTGTTTTCGGTAATAATATCTACTTACTTAAATATTATAATGAAGAATCGCGAAAACGTTCGGCAAAGTAACTGAAGCATCAGAAAAGTCTACAAACAAGAGGTCTTAAGTTTAAGGGACACCTAAAGGCATCACAAAATATCACATTTGGACATTACTAAGTCCTTTGTATTCAAGCAACAAGTTTGACAATTAGGTGTGTTACATTGTATTGTATTTATTTAAAACAAACAAATAAAATGTTTGTGGCAATTAATTGTTCACTCCATTATTTTTATTCAAACAATATTCATTTTCGGAGGCAAATAGCAGTTGGGCGTAATTTATGTGGTTTGCGGGAGGGAATCATGTATCGTCCATTAAACCCTTAGTTAAACCCATATTTTTGTTAATTTGCCTTGAATAATTAACAGTACCTACACATTATTGGGTGACCATGACACCGTACCATGACGATAACTGAAAAATTTAAATACGTTTTTCATTGCAAAATATTAAATGAGAAAAAAAATTTATTTGGAAGAAAACTCTCGCAAGTACCTAGGTGTGTACTTATTCAATTAGGTAGTTTTCTTTTTTCTCAGTAGTAACATTCCTGAATCTAACTGGCCACAAAGACTCATTAAAAATGGTGCGAGTTCCAACCAACCTCTTTTAAAAATATTCGAACCTACGTACTGCATTTTTCAAGTCTACGAAAAAAGAAAGACTGTCGATAGTGTTTTGTTTTTGAAAAAAATGAATTGCATCTTTGTACGACTATGAATTTTAGGCAGGTTATCATTAATTTATTACGTGTATTTTAATGGTTTTTGTTTTATAGATAGTAATATTTTTATAAAATTGTGTTTTGTTACAGCTGCAGCTACGACTACCTGGAGATTATCGAGACGGGTACAGACAACAGCTCAGATCACGCGGGGGAGTGGTTATTGGAAGACCACCAGGACACCTACAGTGCTGAGAATGAGGTAAATAAATAACAACCGTATTCACAAACGATGCTTGCTTAATTGAAGCCGCAAATCGAACGCACAGCGTTGAATAGAGCTATGTGATTGGTACGTGTGTCACACTGTGCGTCCACGCGCACTTTGAGACCTCATAGTAATGTTTGTGAATACGGGCGTTACCTACTACTACAAAAGTTTACCCCTTTACTAATAAAAGTTTTACACGGATGTTGAACACTACTTTAAAATTAGATTCACTTTAAACGTCACTTACGTAAACTAGTGTTCAATGTCGTGCTTACACTGAAAAAGTAGTTTGGTTATTGCTACACAAATGAGTGACTTGCGAGCTGGAGTTTACTACTAACAGGTAACTATGGTTATAAGGATCAAAATGTTGTGTAAATTAAACAAACTATTTTGTAGTGAGCTAAACCTGGATTGGTTCTAGGTTCACATTCAGTTCCTTAGTCATTAATTTGTGGAAGCAGTAACGAACCTTTTTTTTTTCAGTGTACACGTAAACTAATGTGCAACTTTTGTAAGCACCTCATCATCATCGTCATCATTTCAGCCAAAGGACGTCCACTGCTGAACATAGCCGTCCCCCAATGAGCACCTAATATAGTCTAATTTGGTTGTGTATCTACGAGTGTATTAATAAGTATTATGTGAGATTTATGCCCGTTTTCACCATCAATCCCTAATTTTTGAGTGACCCCTATGGTAACACATAACAGGAATATTGTTCTCTTAGGAGTCACTTTAAATAGGGATTGATGGTGAAAACGGGTATTACTAATTTAAAAAGATAGATTTTATGGTAAATAAATGAATAATCATGGCTTACATTTGAATAGGGTCAACATACTTTGGCAATATGATAAGCCTTTCATAGCGAGATTAGGACAGTACATTATCCGATAAATAAATAAATATCTTATGGCAACAAAGCCCATCCCGGGATGACCGTTACCTTTTAATGGGGGTATTTTATTGGGGATAAAACAGCTCCCCATATTGTAGGTATGGTTTACTACCGCCATACATTTATGATTTAAGTGCGTAGATTAGCTGCTTGAAGCACTTAAACATCGATTAAGGCAAATAACAATAGAAGTTATGAAAAACTAGGTGGATTTTTTTTTACATTGTAGCTGTAGTTTTCTATCAATTTTCCTTTAGCTCTAGCTATACCTAGTAACATTAAGTAACGTATTACGTAAAATTGATCCGCAATGCATATAAAAATAAGACCTACTGAGCTTGCAGAATCTACCATTTCAATTGAATCATACAATGTAGTATCTTTTTCACTCTTTCGAAATATTTTTTTAGTTTCAATATGAATAATGTTGCCATTTGCAAAAATACGTTCGCGCGGGAACTAATTCCGAATCCGAACATGCACCGCCCGCACTCAAATATTTATGATAATGGTTTCTAACAATGGAATCGAACATCGGCCGAGGAATAGTGTCGCCAATATGGGCTACAAATCGGTTGCCATGCCAGATTTATGCAGCGTGCAGTGAAGCAGTTCAGTTATTTTGTACGTTGACTTTTTTCATAAAAGATCAAGAAATACGTCTATCTTTGTTCTACGAATGCAACTATTCTTGGTAGATGATACTAAGGCTGAGTTGCACCATCTTACTTTAACTTCTTCAAAAATCTGTCAAACTTCGTACAAAAAGCACCGGTTATCGTCATAGTTGCCGTTAAATTTAGGTGTTGCAACTCAGCCTAAAAATTTGGTGTGTGTATTACCTGCTTATTCATTTTACGCACACAGAACTGGGTAATGTTTTCATAGAGTTATTTTTGTCAGGGATTTTATGTATTTTGATGGATGCAATGTCTTTTAATGCACTTTTAGCACAAAACTTACAATACTGTTCAAATGACTTATACGTGAACGTTTAAAAGCGCTTTTTATAAGTTTTTTTTCTGTGAAACTAGATAAGTGGAACCTACCTATATTTTGAAGAGGTGTGCTAAATGCACACACATTATTTTTGAGCAATAATTGTTTAAAATCCCACGTTTTTTTTTTCATATCAGTCAGCAGGGG